GGTTGACAAAAGGCTCCAGTCCAGAAGAGCACAGAGCCCTCCAGCTCCACGCCTGGTTGAGAGCCACATGGTGCAGAGCCCAGTACTCTGTGCCCTTGAATAATCTATCTTAGGAAGTCTAACAAGCTAGATCATTCCAAGGCACTTGCTGAAATCTGTTCTAATAGCTGACAGCTCAAGGTGTTACTGTCCCTTGTTCCTTATTTATTCTTGTTTGCAACTTATCTTCACTCTTCTTTTAATTTCAAAGCAATTTTGTGCAGAATCTGTATGGATGTGCAGAATGGCGTGAACCAGATAAATGTGAGATGAGAGCTAGAAGTACCAAACACTTCCTGCTGCCCTCTGGGTCACAACATAGATGTGTACTCAGCTTAAAATTGTTGCTGAATTCTTAATAGTTCCTCCTCACTGTGCCAAACTGTCCTGTACACCAACGGGGTGACAAAAAAGTGATGCTCCCCCTGCAAATAATTTAAGCCAGATACACAGTGGTTTGGAGTTGCCATGTCTCAAGATGCTGCCACATACTTCCTTCTAGCAATAAAGAACCTATTGAGTAGTCAATTTTCCCGTTTTTATAGCTAAACGGAAGGGGAAGAATACAAAACTGGTAGAGCTGAAAGATGGCACTGTATATTGGGTGCCATGTAAATGTGGGCTTGTGTCAGGAATTATTTTTTCTCAACCAAGCACAGAGGGCAAAAAGCCATTATTCACTCTATGCATACAGCTCACAGTATGAAATCACTCCTAGCAGACTGAAGACAGAGCTGGAATTATATCTGGTGTTTCCATACATTAGTGGTTAATGGAAGAAGCCCAGAGGTCCGTTCCTGTGGAACCCAGTCACACAAGTGAGCATTGTCAGAGGCAGCTTTGGTGTTGACGGGGTCTGTCCTGCACAGGCACAGTGGAGGCGCTCCTCTGTGCAGCCCTTACCCTGAAGTAGTATGTGCTATATGCTCCATCCACTCACAGACTGTCAGCCTACACAAGGTCAGTGCTACATAAGCATCAAGGACACAGCTGCCTACTACTATAATGTACATATAAAAGATGATTTTTTTTATTTAAAAAGTCGACATCTGCCCATTTGAACAGAGAAATTTAGACTTGTGTGTAATTCAAAACCTCCTTCAAGCAACAGAAAGAAAAACAAGCATATTTTTTGATCAGAAAACCTGACGATTTTGTCTTGTCTTTAATCCTCAAGATGTTATCATAGCCCAAACTAAAAAAATAATTGACATAAATAAAGCATTAAGATTTCTTTCATTTTTAAGGGTAAGAACAGTTTCAGTCAGAATCAGATGAAGGGCATTCACATTTTTGGTGTGAGTAGGACACAATTGGCAGGCAGGGATGCCATCAGAGACATCCCACCACTGCTGCCTATCACCAATTGCACTCTCAGAGGATATGACCTCTCCAATCTGCTGGAATAGTCACTTGCATAATTAGTCCCCACATATTTTGTCAAAACTCCTACTAAAATTTACAGACTGGGTTATTCTAACTGGGGTCTGAACTGGATGACAGGGTTTTCACACACTGAATTTGTATCAGCAGGTCTGGAAAGGCAGAAACTTTCAAGGTGGGATGGTACTTGGCTGCTCGTACAAGCAGAGGGGATCAGACTTAGTGGTCTGTGTTGGCTCTGAGCAGGCAGGATACTGCCTTTGCTTGCAGGAGCCTGGGAATAGCTGACCTCCTTGCACCCTGCACTGGAGCACAGAACAGAGATGACCTGGCCTGGGCTCAGCAACCTAACATCAGAAAGGGATGCCAAGGAGCTGCTTCATTTGGCCTTGGAGACCAAGTGTGATGCTGAGCTGTGACAAAGAGACACAAACACTCCCTTGAAGACTGCTTTGCCATCTTTCACGCACAGTTGCATTGCAGCATGTTTTACAGCCTGTGCGTCTTCTGAAGACCTTGTCTGTTCATTGGCTACAGTGCCATAACATATTTACTTCTTGTAAATGATTAGCACATCTTGAAAGTATTTTTCTAAAGCTGTCTCTTGCACATGCCTCTATGCCTAATAAAGCTCTGTGTTGTTTATGTTAATGTTAAGCGTGCATTGCTGTCTGCTTAACTGTGAAAAACAGAAATGAAAAACAGAGAGGCTCCTGTGACTTTGCCAAAAGGTTTCATGTAAGTATTAAAAAATCAGCAAGCAACCAACACATCCGCATGTTCCTAGTCAGAAAGCACAGAGTTTTGCATGTAAGTGGTTATTTAATAGAGCGAATAAATCAATCCTCCCAACGTCTTTCATCAGATTAACAAGATTCAATAAACCTCATGTGAATTACCTGTTTCCTTACATCAGGTGTTTAAAGAACTGAGCAAAATTAGCACTGAAAACATGGTTAAACATCAGTAGCAAAACCCCATGTTCACTGTCCATGAACAACATGTTTTAGCAGCTGCTCCTTAAAACAGAACTGACATAACATTAACCCCACTATCACCCTTGCTTTCTTTCATCCTGGGCTATAACTGCTTTCACACTCAGCCAAGTCAGTTTGCAGTGTTTGGTGCTTATTTCCTGTGTGGTGTTAGCAGATTTCAGCAGGCTGCAGCAAGGCACATCATCTCTACATGCCACTTTTGAGACCCGCATTCAAACAAATTTGAGACACTGACCATGTTGTTTCTTAGGTGGTTGACAACTTCTGTAAGTGCTGAAAGTGCCTGTGAGTTATCTGTGCATCCCACTTGATGGCCAACTTTGACGTCCTGATATGCGGGAAGATGCCCTGTCCAGACAAATGGGGGACTACTAAGAGGAGTACCACTGGGAGGAGGTCCTGGGGCACCAGAGGTGACTGGGGCAAGCTGCCTTCAGTGACCTCTGTCTAATGTTTTCATAGAGATGTTTTGGAGTTATTGCTGTATACCACATCTCTGCAGAGTGACTTGATCTCACCATGTCACACCAGTACTCTTCCAGAAATGCCAGCATGAAGCATGAAAATATGGCACCAAACACAGTATCCATTGTCTCTCATATCTCTCAGTGTTTATTCTCGGCTACCTACCCAGCGCCGTGCGTATCTCTGCAATGATCTTTCACCACTCTCTAAAAAATGTCAACACATCATAAACACACCATGTGGTGTTCGGAAAATGTCCTCTAGTGTATCCAAGTACTTTATCACCTCTACACATGGACAAAATTAAGCATCATCCTGGGCAAATAAAAGCCTTATGCTAACATAACATCAGCCAAGGAAATGTGAAGGCAAGACTAGGAAAGCAGTACTTCAGCACTGCTTCTGCATAGAGGGTTTGGAGATGTGGAGTGTACTGCCAGCAAGACCAGCGCTACACACACGTACAGGTAAACCCTGTGGACCGAGGCAACCAAAGCTGCATCACACTGGTTTTCCCCATTCCTTTTTGAACAGAGGACATTTGAAATGAAAGAGGAGTAGTGGTAAGGTTAACTGCAAAGTAGATGATCCATGAGGGTAGAAAAAGTAGTGTTATAAATAATGGGTTGTTGAATTCTTAAGGCTCAAGCACTTGTTAATCACTTCTAGAATACTTTGATATTTTGTGTATAAGACCAATCAACCTGCAAACCATGACATTACCACTCTGACAGACAGCAAGACCAGCAATGAAAAGACGAATCCATATGCATTTTGGAGGCTAATAAGATTGCTTTCAAGAAATGCATGAGTTTCTTTAAAGTAGGTAACAAAAATTACTATTAGATGCAACTATTTAGTGTGCACAAAACTGATGATCAGTATCCCCACATGCTTAGAACACAAGGTTTTTCATATGTTTTTAAAATATATGTACTTTTGCATATTTTTGCATATGTAAACGTTCTTTACAAAGCATCCTTTAATAACATGAATGAAACATTGAAGATGTAGAAGCATTAAGTATTAAGCACTACAGGATTTAGCAAAGAACATATATAGTAGTTCTAAAGATGCCTTATCTAACTAGTAGGCATTTTTCTTATTTACAGGATATGTCATATTTGGGTAGCAAAGGGCAATATTATCTCACCCAAATGCCATTGTGCTTAATGTAACCAGCCACACTTCAGTGAGGCCATAGTCTGTTGTGTTGATAACCTTCTCTTAAAGGATATATCCACCTCTTAAAGCCTATACACTAAAATCTGACACGAGGATGAATACACCATTTCAAATTCTCTAATGAAATTCAGAGGTCTATCATCCTCTGCCATATCAAAACTCTTAAGCTAAGAATGGATCTTACCTTAGTTCTGCCCTTAGACTGTGGAGTTCAACCATCCAGACTATAACACTAGGTTTTGTTTATTATATTAATTTTGCTGTTCAGTCTTTACCATTTTTGTTACCATGATAGCTGCATTTCTAAAGAAATTTGATTTTTTTTTTTGTTTCCCCTATATAAATAAATATTTTCCCTGTTATAATTTTTATGCTGATTTTCATATGAAGTAAGGATCAACAGCCAGGTTTTTATTATAGAAGATACACTAATAGGCCTTCTGGTTTATTTTAAGGCAAAATCTTTTGCAAAGAAAAAAGCAGCATTACACTGTAAAGGAATTAGAGAGATCTGTGCAAATACTTTTACTACTTTAATTGCAGCACATCAGAGGAGATGCACTATTACCATCACTGAATAATACTCATCTAGCTTTCTCTGAAGCCAGTAGGTAGACGACTATTGCCATCAGTCAGAAACAAATTGGGCTTTGGTTATGTACCTATTTAAGTAAATTGCTTGTTAGCTTCTCCCATCAAAACTGCAGTTAAGTTGAGCCTACCATTGCCAAACTGAGATAAAGCTCACATTCATTTACAGAGGCAACACAGAAGCATAACAATTGCAGAACATGAATTGTTTTGGCTTCTCTGCGTCCTTCATCCACCTGCAAAGGCAATGCTGGGCATGCACTGAGTTTGCAGGTCTCGGAACAGACGTTTGCCTGCCCTGCTCTGCCCAAATTTGTCTTGACCTGCCTGGTTTTCCTGTTTTCATTTAGTTTTCTTCTGACATGCAACCAGTCCCAGTACTGGCTCAGAAGATGCAGGTTTCTTGGACCTCTACAAAAGCCCCAAGATCTGCAAAAGTATCCCAGAAGCGTGAGAGCATGAACAAACTCCAAGCACCAAACTGCCTGCTTGTCCTTGCTGCCTTCTCTGAGAAATAACTGAGAAGTTGGTCCAGAGTTTCTAATAGATTTTATCCTGAAGAATACAATATGCTTTTTCCTCAGCACATTTACCAAATTGAATATAAAATTTGCCCATGCCAAAAGCTCTTAAAAAGCCCTGCATGCAATAAAAGGGTTAATAATTCAGCTTCTCCTGTGCCTGCAGACATTAGTTTTTATGGCTAGATGTTAAGTTTACAGTTACATACATTTTATATGCACTGATCTTTACTGCCTAGACAGTTCTGAATTTATGAAACATCCTCAGATCTTTTAGCTATTTCAATGTAGAAATGGAAGTTAAAGCACTGCATGGTACTAACATAGTTTGTTGGGGTTTCTTTTTAAAAAAGGCAAATTACAAAGCAGTAAATCCAAGACACAGTTAAAAATTTTAATTTTCAGGAAAGAACATTGAAATGAATGAACACCTGGAGTGACACGTACCCCAGGGAAATCTGCAGACACTTAGAGATCTAAAAATTGGACAACATTAAGTGAGTGAGGAATAACCGGAGAATGAGACAAAAACCCCTTCCTATACGTACATACTTCTTAGACAGTTTTTCTGTAAAGCAAACTCTTCTCCCAAAGTGAAGCTGCAAACTCTGATATAAACATCACTTCCCCTCCACCCTCGCTAAAATATTTCTGTAATTTCCAAACAATGCCATGTGTTCTGCTACTAAATCGGATCAAGAATCTCACGCAGCTTATCCCCAGTGTTGTTGTCAGAACCGGTTCTGGAACATATATTTCATCAGCGGGGTCTGTGTCTTGAAGTGCAGTTTATTATTCTGGGCTCACGGCAATGTTCAGCACTTTGGATTCAAAAGCTGCTGACGGTTCATTTTCATTTCTCAGCCTCTGCATTTCTGTGTTTAAATCCAGTTGAGCTCTGGCAAGCTGACGGCTCGGGGAGCACACCTTCAGCTAAAGGTACAGAGGAAAAGATTTTTATTAGCAGAAGAAAACCATCAAAGTAAATTACACCATAGGTCTTTAAGGACAGATAGATACATTTGGGTGGAAACATTAAAGTAATTGCCATAAAACTCATCAGAAAAATAGCATTTTCAAGTGATATAGCCTTCTTTGCTAGCTACAGGGCAGCCAAAGTAATCCTTCACTGGAGAAGCAACCGCTGGATGTATATTTATTAGCTACCTAAATAATTTGAAAAGGAAGCAAAAATAATTAGGATCAAAAAGGGAACAGTCTGAAAGCTGAAATATACCATCAAATGCAAGCCTGCAAATTAATGCAGACTTAATCTTGTAAAGCGGTGCCCTCTGAATCAAGCCAAAAGTCACTTAAGCACACTTTCCAACCATAAACATGTCACTCAGGACCCATCAGGGTATAACCACAGACAGTTGTTTTAATGTGGCACGAAACAGACATAGTACCCAGCAGCTTGCAAGACTGCACCCTTTATGCTCATTTTGTATATCCTTGAGTGTAAGATTTCACTGCATGTACCTTCCAATATACAGAGAAACATAAGCATAGAGATCCAGAAGTCTGCTTCTCTACTTACATACTTATATAATGACTATTATAATTTAACTATTTGTATAGCCCAATTTAGAGAGACATTTTAAGCTTAAATGATACCATTATGGCTAAAAGCACCTCCAGCCCACTCATCAAGTCAAAAGTACTTTTAAAATTAATTCCTCAACCTCTATGAAAATTTTGTCCCTATGAAGGTTTTTTTCCATCATTCTCTTTTTTTCTCTAATGTTTTCTTATTAGCAATAACTACCAGATCTTGCAAAGCTGTTAAAAGAGAAGTAAATGTCATGGAAAATGCTGGACTCTTCCTAGGGATTATTGCATGCCTTTAATTTCTTAGTAAATTCAGGTTGATTTAGGTGTAGGCAGGAGTCCTGCTGCAAGGATAAAAGTTGCCGACGCCTATTAGCGTCTCAGAAACTCAGGGAGGGGGTACAAGAGTTAGGAGACATAAAATATGAACTAATTCCAGCATTCCCAGATGTTTCCGATAAATGCAAAACAAAACCATAATGTGATTTCATTACAGTCAACATCAATTCCCATTTTAATCCTATTACATGATCAGTGGATCGTGATAGGTGATCCTGATAATTCTGTCTAATGTTTTCCCATTAAGTTCTTGCTTTCAGTGGTTTATATTTTGCCAAACACAACCATTTAGGCTATATTTTCCTTCTTTACTCTAGCTGGTTATGTTTCTGTTTTGATTTTGGGGTGTTGGTACAGCCAGTTCAGCTGTTTCTGAGAAGTACAGAAGGGGAAAAATGTCAGTAACTTTGCAAGAGCTTGAAATAATACTTTAGGTGCTTTTTTAGTGTGTTCTTTATATTTACATATAGCAGTAGGGAAAGGCAACTTAGCAAAATTTGTGCTGTGTCCATGAAAAAAAAAAACACCATTCTGAGCAAATGACAATATTCTAAAACACGTATCTTTTTTGTATATATTCTATATACATTTTCTATATATACATTTTTATATATTTATATGTAAATACAATATATATATTTATATATATAAGGTATTTGTACACATGATGATTGGCAGAACTTAATAGATACTTGCTGAAAATATCACTGGGCATCCCATTTGCGCTGATCATGCTTTGTCCCCTCTGAAGCAACTTATAAATACCAGGTGTGGCAAGCACACTGTCGGGAAAAGATTCATAACTCAGTGAATTTTCACTGCAGAAATCACCCTCTGACAAGGGAAAATAAACAGTTAAATTGTGGGCAGAGGGGAAACCTTCTTAGCTCCAAAGAATTTGTTCCTCTGATTCTCAGCTGCTCCAGTGCAAAGCACACTTCCCTGTGATTCCTAACCCAAATCCTCCTCCCTCTGTCCTGGCCTCCTGGTTTTTGCCAGCCCACATCACTCCTGGGTGGTCCGCAGAGAGCCAGTGCAGAACTGCAGAAGCCAGCTTTGTTACTGCTCTGCTGGAACAAGTTGACTCAGTACTATATATTCCAATAGAACTCAGTCCACATTGATAAATTGCTGACTTAGCACTCCAAATGCACTGCATGCCCATCTGTGAAAATCAGAGTAAGATTCACGTCCAGAACCAAGAACTGAACCCACAGCTCATGATCTACATTACATGATCCGCATTACAGTAGTGTAGATCATGATTAACACCCTGATCTCACAAACCCCCAAAGTGTCCTTCAAATCTTTGCCAAGCAGTTGGTCTAAATGTTACCAGTTACTTCTTGAACTCATCCAGTGAAGTCTTATGCTGTGTAACTTACAGTCTTTGTATCAGTGCTACTGCCTGTCCTTTGTGGATCTACTAAATGGAATTAAAGTAATGTAATTATTTTTTTTAAGTGTTAGAAGAGTACATTGTCTGCAAGACTAAGTATTCCAAGTTAGGGAATATGAAGATTAAGGTTGCTCCTTATAAATTGTCACTTGGGGAGAGATGTCCTGGACTGATGAGATCTAACTGTGCCATCCCTCTTATCTTGAAGTGCTCCCCTGCAAGTGGGTTTGATGTAGATGACATGAGCAACAATGACTGTAGTCTGGAAGGCTGTAGCTTCATAAACACATGATGGTTACCTGAACTGACCACCACTTTCATCAGTGATAAGAACCATCAGAGATTAGCATATGTCTGCAAGAAGAACAGGGGGAACATTTATTTTAGCTCTTTGGGAACACAGGAATGACTGATTCCTGTCCCTTTAACAGAACCATAGAATGGGAGGAATGTGCAGGGCTCAACTTGTCCAACCCCTTTTCTCAAGCAGGGCAACCTATGGCCAATTGCACAGTACCATGTCCAGATGTTGACCAAAACCTTCCCAGAGAAGCTGTGGCTGCCCCATCCCTGACAGTGTTCAAGCCCAGGATGGACGGGGCTTTGAGAAACCTGGTCTAGTGGACAGTGTCCCTGCCCATAGCAGGGGGTTGGAACTGGATGAGCTTTAAGGACTCTTCCAACCTAAAACATTCTATAAATCTATGGATTTTTTTAGTATCTCCAAGGTGGGAGATGCTAGCACCTCTCTGGGCAACCTGTGCCACTGCTCGTTTACCCTCAGAGTGAAGAAGTGTTTCTTCATGTCTGGAGGGAGCCTCCTGTGCTTCAGTTTGTGCCCATCGCCTCTGGTCCTGTCATTGGACACCACAGAAAGGGACCTGGCTCTCTCCTCTCTGCACCCTCTGTTCAGGTATTTATATACCTTGATGAGATCCCCCTTCTCCAGTCTAAACAGTTCAGCTCTTTCATCCTTTCCTTATAGGAGAGATGCTCCAGACCTTTGATCATCTTCATGGCCTTTCATTGGACTGTCTTCAGTATGTCCATGTCTCTCTTGTACTGGGGAGCCCAGCACACTGCAGGTGTGGCCTCACCAGGTTCAAGCAGAAAGGAAGGATCACCTTGACCTGCTGGTAACACTAAGAACAGCAATCTGTGAGACTGCACCATATATACCATAATCAGGGAAAGCAAATTATAGCTCTGCCTTTTAAGGGCTAAATAGTTCTGATTTTGCTTTTTCCTAAATTCTGTGTTCTTCATTTCTCCATCCTAATTTTTGAAAGCCATCATCACCATGGCTTGACTTCGCGAACGAAGATTTGGGAAGGGCTTTACCCATGCTTACTACAAGCACGCTGATGACTAAGAAGGCCAAAGTGGGAAAGGCAATTCCGGCTACAAAAAGCACAGCAGAAGGTCTCCTTGGGTGGAACAGGTGGGGCACGATTCTTCCTGCATTGTCTTTTCTCCTCGAGACTAGTTCTTCGTGAGCTCTCAAAGGAGTCAGCGGCATTATGTATGGTGTGCCTCCAAGTCTCCCGATTGCAGGCCAAGGTGGACCACTGATGGTAGTCAATATGGCCAAGGCTAAGGTATTGTTTCAGGGAGTCCTTATATCTCTTCTTTGGGGCACCTCTCTTGCGGCTACTGGTGGCAAGTTCACCGTAAAACACGATCTTGGGGAGGCGGTGATCTCTATAACCCAAAGTCGTAAATTGTATGTAAATATTTAATTACATACGTTTAATTGGACTAGGAATGCACTTTTCTCCGATGTAGATTTATGAAATTGACCATAAAAAGGGATGCTACTTGACTATCCTTTTTTATGACAGTATAAAACACTGTCAGTATTTTGATATATTGAATATTATTAAAGTTTAACTGGAGTCTATAACTTCTTTATTAGAACTTTTCTTCAAATAATTGCTTCAAATTAAATGTAAAGTATTTTCTTAAATACAATAATGCTATGGATATTTCAATTTCTCAGAATGCTGTTAAAAGGAAAGTTAAGAGCAGAGCGATATACCAGAGATACAGCATTCACTGACATAGTGGAATCACTACTGAAGAAACCTGGATTTCAAAGGGTCAGTGTAAGTTACTTCCTATGTTTTGCATGGAGCATATTCTTAAACATAGAATTAATGACATAAGCATGAACAGTATTGCCTAGTGGAAAGTTCCAGTTATGGACACCAGTAGAGGCGACCTTCTTACGCCATGATTCTTCCTTCCAAGGCAAGCTGCCTCTGGACACTGCACTTCAGGCCAATGGAAAAGGAGTGCTGGAAGAGGAGCCTTGGTCAGTCCCCTGTGGCACGTTCAGAACTATTCACAGGGCCCTCACCATGCACTGTGCTGGAGTTTGCACCCTGAAATTCCCTCTCTGCTGCATGTGCCGTGCCAAAATCAGCTTGATCTGCCAAGATGGGGAGGTCCCAGAGCTTTTGCTTGGAAGAGAGGCTGAAACCTGGAAGCAGCACTAGCAAAGGAGCTCCTGCGTCAGCTGCTTCCACTTTAATCAAACCTCTCTCTGTGCCTGGACAGTAGTTTTTCACCATAGCTGGCCTCTGCCTAGCTCACCAGTACTGTGATAAGCTCATCAATTAGCTTAAATGAGTAAGATGATTGCCAGAACGATTTCATTTCGCATTAGTGAATTCTCAGAATTTCAACATTTTTCTCACTGCATCTGCTGGCTACGATTAAGCTTTTCTTAACAGCTCAGCTACCCTGAAGTCAAAACAGCACCTGACAATAATTGTTTCCAGTAGAAGATGGGCAAAACTTAAGTTTTAGCTTAAACTAACTACAGAATCAGCAGGGATGCCACAGCTCTGGTCAGACTTCATCTGCTGCTAAATCCACCCCTCCCTTACATTAACTGAAGCAGTCCAGGTAGATATGTGTGGCCTCACAGCACAAACCAGCACTGCTCACTGTGGGACTGTGCAGATACCTGAACTACTTCTAAATAAAATATATGGGTAGGAGAAGCCATACTGATGCATTATAACAAGGCTCCACAAGGATTAATTTTACTCAAGACTGCTGATGCAAAACACAGCACTCCTGCAGTTTGCTTCCAGCCCTCAGCCTCCCTCATTTACAGCTCGCCTTGGATAGTTTTTATACCACACCAGAATATGGCCCTGGAGACCAGCATTTACAGAATCTCTCCACTCTCATCTTGCCTCTGCATAGTACATGTGAAGGATTGAGCAGAAGCATTAAGGGGTTGGAGCTCTGGCCCTGAGGGACAGGGATGGGGACCTGCTCTTTGGTGACTAGGGAGGAATCTTATCCATTCCTCCTCCCTGTACTGAAACCAGCCCCAGGGGAGCCCAGGCCATCATGGGTGGGAATCATGGCTCCAAACCCACATGCTTCTGAAGTGTTGTGTGGTTGTTGCGGTTTTTTGTGTTTTGTTTCATTTTAAATCACAGAAAGCTGTTAGGGTTGCAATGTGTCCCATCAATCAGCACACCACGCAGAGTCTATATTAAACATCCTACCAAGTCCCATAGGAAGCGTGAAATTTCTGATGACAGGAGATAAGAAAATATTCAGCATGTTTTGATAAACAATTTATATGGTAAAGGACTGGAAGGTCAGTAAGCAGAAATTGTGCTTTATGTTCCTTGCATATATATTGCTTGATGATTAAGTAAAAAATATCACAAATACAGATATGAGTGAAAAATATGACTATTCCTAGGCAGAGACAGGAAAACAGAGGGGTTTGTTATCCTGTTCTTTTTAATCCCCATGCAACAGATTCAGAGATGGTTGTGCATTGTTAGAGTTTGGAAGAACTGCTTTTCTGTCTCCTATGGGTATTGTTGATCTTTTGCCTTACTATACCTGCAAAGCTTGTGTAAGTTACTAATATAATACATTTTTTACCCATTCTTGGACATCTCTAGTGCAAAAATGCCTGAAGAGCTAGTTCATCCTTTAATTGGCAAGTGCAAATTAGTTACATTTCCATCCTATTGACTGCCAAGGGATTTGATCTTGTCTTCAAAACACCTGCAGGGATGGAGGATGCCTCAGTAGACCCAGTAAAACTGGTTGTATAATTAGTGCTGAAAAATCTGTGGTTCATGTATTTCATGGGGTAGAGGTATGCTGCCTTTCTGGACAATAATTCATCAAAGGGAAGGGGAAAGACCAAATTCAGACCTTCTGTGTAGGGACTGTGCCTTGCCTCAGCTGAACTGACTCACAAGTTTTTAGTAATGAAGTTTCTGTTATGTTGATCTTAAGAGTAGTTTTTGGCAGAAAAGAAATGAAAAATAATAAAGAATTTTTAATGCATAGGGCAGGCAACTGGGCACGAGGCATTTCTGGGCTCTTTGCCTGGATCTGTCATTGACTTGTTGATTATATCTTCTGGGTCTGTTTTAATCTCCTAAGGGGAGAACAAAAAGGCAATAATCAGAATATTAAGAAAATGGGGAGGTTTGATTCATTGTAGCATAATCTGTAGGGTCATGTTGAAGGCTGGGTTAGGAGACCTTCAGTATATTTTGGCCCTTTTCTATATGCTTTTTCCTATTTGTCTTTACTATATACTGGCTATAGTTCTGTGACCTTCAGGGCAAATGCTCTATCTGGCTGTATGTGCACAGTGATGGTAGCAGTGCAAGATACACATCTGTGCTGGCTTTAAATAATATGTCTCATTAAAGATGATATTTGTACAGGAGAAGTCACCAGGCTTCTCTGAGATGCACAAAGGTCCATGAGGACATGGTGGAGATGTTTTTGGTGCTTGAGCTAACTTGAATGCAATATGCAGCACAGATTTACCTCTATATAGGAATATCCTACAGGGATAGTATGAAGAGAGCATCCACCTCATGGTGCAGGGGACAGAGGAAGGGCTGTTTACTATTTATTGATCCTGACACAACCCCCTCTTCTTGGTGAATTTGTGTGAATGAGCTTTGTAGATGCACACCTGTAGGCAACAGAAACAGTTAACTAGAAAACAGCAAAAGTACACATGGAGAGGCAGTGTGTGAAGGTCTCCCAAAAGCTGCTCAGCTCTGGAAACTTGTAGTCCTTTTGAATCTAAGACTGCTGATAAATTCAGAACAGCAAGAGTACTCAGAATGTGTCCATAGCCATCAGCACACAAAAGCCCGAACCCCAGGTTTTGCAACTCAGACCACAGCCAATGAAGATGGCAGCTGCTACATGCAAGCACAGACCACAAGCTACAGGGGTTATATATGCCTGAGAAAGAAACGGACTTCTGAACACCTTCCTAAAAGACATTGGTGTATCAATATGGCTCTCTGCTTCTCAGTAAACATCCAGGATTGGCCTACCTACTGCTACTCAACATGGGTAAAATGAAGGATTGAGGGGGATAATTGAATAGATGGTACCAAGTTACCTGCTATTAATACTAACAGCTTGATTCTATTGTTCATAATAGCTTGATTTATAAACTGGGTTTCAATAAATATTGATGGTAGCCTGTATCTCCCCCTGAGTGTTTCCTCTAGCTGGAAAAATTACGTTTTTTCCCCCTGTAGAGACAACGAGACAATGCAAAGAAAATGCCATACTATCCTGGCAGGGGATGGGGAGGAAGGGATGATGTGGAGGCAGGAGAGAGGAAGGCTTTTAAAGAGGCAGAGAAGGAGAGTCCAGCAACATATCCCAGCTATCCTGGGGCCACTGGGGTTCCTCATGACATCCAGGTGCTAATAGAAGTATAATACGTACATTAACAATAATGGTGGCATTATATGACCAAGATCCTTAGACAGACTGTGCTACAGGCTGTTCTGCCTCTTTCACTTGGTGAGTAAAGCAGATGCAAGAGAGTAGTCATGTAAAGATTACTAAGTATTCCTGTCCACTGATAACTTTCTACAAATACTAACTCCTTTTTAATGTGGTTTAATTTCTGGAAAGAGAGCACCTCAGTCCACAGAATTTTTCTCCCATTAGCAGTATTAATCCGCTCCTGAATGGACAATAAAATGTTTGCCTTTATGTTCTCCAGCCCTGTTGCTAAGAGCTATACACAGAAACAAACTGTTCACATAAATTTTCACATTTTTCTTAGCTAAAATCCCAACAGGAAGAAGAAAAAATAAACTGCTGACATTGATAAAGAATTTGAAAAAGCTCCTATGGTTTTTGTCATTCCAGACTGGCAGTTCGTAGTCTGGGAACATTATCGCAGCTTCATTTCCACAACAAAAAGGCCCCATTCTTTTCTTGAAGGTTTGACCGTTCATCCTGTCCTCGGTGTTTTGCATCAGAAATGCACTTGTGTTGTCAGCCTTCCTGTCAGCACTCACTTACCGTGGCTGCCAAAGAAAAGTCTCAGAAAAGACAAGTGTCTCACAGGTTACTATAGTTTCTTTTGTGCTCTTAAAATTTGCAGAGTTCGGGCACTTAAAAACGTGATTAACGTTTGCATATATGATAAATTTAAAAGTTGGGTGAACTTTTCACACTGAATGTTAACAGTTTCCATTGTCCGTTCTCCAGTAAACCTGAATAGCTGATTATTCTCACTCTATGGATTTTCGATGGGCTGTCATCCTGCTGGATTGTACTAAAGCATTTTACAGTCACAGAACAGGAAACAACCATTTGAATTTTTAACGTAAATCCCGCAAAAAAAAAAAAAATAATTTTCCCCTCTAAAGGTGAGAGAAAAGGATTTCAGTTATCACACTCTGGTAGGTGACAGGTGTACTGCTAATAATGCATTATGGAGTTATTTCACCATCACTTTTATAGTTGTTAAGTTACAAGTCATGAAAATGTATGAATAATCCACTTATGGTGCGTCAACACAGTCCCATAAGCAAATCAAATATGGTCTTGGAAACATCTAAAGGTACAACAAAATTAATGGAGTTGAGGATATAGAGATGATACAACCAGAGATCTCACATAACAGTGTTCTTCCACTGAAGTACCTCAATTAAATTCCAGAACAGACTAATTGTTAATGGAAATCATCTTATGGCTACTTGATGTCCTACAAGAAGTGGGTCCAATGGTTATAGTGCTCTCTAGTTTAAAGCATACTGACGTCTATATCACAAAACTGTATCTTACAAGTGTATATCACAAAACCAATCACAGTTTTGTGATACAGAGTTGTGATATACTGTTGACAGCCTGGTTTGCAAATGCAGCAGCAAATCCAGTAACTATCGCATTAGCCTCTGGCAGCAGAATTTGCAGGTCAGAGTAAGAAAATGTCCCGGAATCTGCACTCCATATATTCTATGTTGAAAACCTGAACTTCATTCTCTGAGGCTGCCAGGGTGATACCTAGCAGTTCATACAGTCTTTAAAAATGCAGTTGAAGCTTTGTCTGTAGGAGGACATTGCACCACCTTGAGCCCTTAGAATGGGAGACAAGGCAGTACCACTGAGCTTTGTTGACATGTCTTTTTAAAGATTGGTGCTCAAGAGAAAAAAAAAGTGCTGCAACATAGTATTTGAGAGTAAACACCTCGGCGTTTTAATAACTGCAAAAGGCATTTTTGCTGGAATGCCACGAACATTATTGCTGTAAGATAGAACAAAGGACAATCCTATAAAATAGTACATAAAAAGACAAAGACATTGCTTCTCCCACTGCTTATTTCAGGGCTAAAATGCTGGCTACATGTTCCAGCTGCACTACTTTAATGTTCCCAGCTGGCTTCTGCAGCATTGTGCTTACTTTGTCTCATAAGGGAATAAGACTATTCTTTCATCCAACGCAATTCCTATAGGCAACAGAAAAACCCAGTCTCCCTATTACGTTTTTGCTCTTTATCTCCCTGGCTGAGACAACAGGATGCTTTTGCAGATCACCAGCACCAACAGGAGATTTTTGGAAAGCAGTGTATATAAATCGATGTTAAATCAATGGGACTTAATAAGTTTAGTTCAGAAGCCTCACCCCATTGCATATATTTGTGATCCCTCTAATTTGTATGTGCTGGTGTTAGGTGTGAGCATCATGATATCATTAATTGCATTAATCTGCCTGCCAGTGTCAGAGGTAGAATGAAGAAACAGGAATGTTTCCTCCTCCCCAAATGGTAAGGAACCAAATGGAAAGAAATTGAAATGAAGACCCCAGGAGTAAAAAAAACCACCATGTTCTTGGAGGGATAGATTATCCAAGGTTTTCAAAAGAATTACACATTCAGACTCATGAAGCAGGTGAAATGATTCAGATTGGCAGAAGGCATGGTTATAAAAGAGAAGGTGAAGATGAGTTTAGCAAATTTGGTTTAGATAACAGCAAAAAGATTCTTGGAAATGGGATCAGAGATGGACAAATATTTTAGCAATGAAGATAAGCTGTAATGGGTAGGCTTGTCTGGACTAAAATTATTTTATTTAATAAGTGTATAGATGGAGAGACAAAGGCAGAATGAGAAATCAAGGACAGTAGAATTCTGAGCAACAAAGGAAAATAAAGAGCATCCTTGGGACAGCTATGGTGTCTCATCTGAAGAGAGTTTGACATGAGCAAGGTAACACCGAAGAAGGTATGTCAGAGGCAGAAATGCACATCAGAATGAAAAAAAGAGTTGTAAGCAACAAACTGTTGGGGAGGACGAGTTAGTCCAAATAGAGACTATAAAGGTAAAAGGAGGAGGGCTGAGAGTGAAAATTTGAAGGGTGCCAACAGATAGTGGAGAGGGAGTGGGAGTATCTACCAGAGGAGGTGCTGAAGAGAACAGTCTTTGAGGTAAAAGTAGAAAGCAGAGCACACGCTCACCAAAGGATAAGGTGGAAAGGAAGATGTGGCAATATGACAGTGGTCCTGAGGACTGCATTAAGGGGAGTCTGAATTGGAAGAAGTTCTCAGGTTTGGCTAAGAAAGAGTATCAGTGAAGGTTACTACAGTGGATACTAAATCTAGATAATAAAGACAGTATGAGGAATACTGGCCAGGAATGAATGTTTGGAAGTCTAATTGGGCATGGGAAAAGCTGAGGGTGGAAGTGCAACTGTGTTTCCAGGCTGGCTAGAGAAGACAGAGAATGGAAGCACAGCAACAGAGAAACAGATGAGGAGTAAGAGAACAAGGAGCAGGAAAACTGTGTCAGACAGGGAACAGAAAGGTAGCACCAAAGAACTCTTACCCTCCAAGGCACAGAAAGCAAGAGGAGGTTGGATTTAATTGTGAGACAAACAGATGAGGTACAAAAATCAAGGTAGTTTTAATTGTCTTTAAAGGGATTTTGCTATATAATATTAACAAAAGATTGCATACTCTGAAACTGCATACAGAAGTCTTACAGATGTAGTGCCATATATTAAACTGATGCTATAGCTGACCTTGGTTCCTGAAGGAGAGACAAGAGATTAACTTATATGGAAACTTTCCAACCACTAAAAGTGCTATAGAACTAGACAAAATATCATGAAATCTGTCTCAGTTAAGGGGCAATCTAACCATTAACATTGAGATGAAAATATTTTGGAGAATCATTAGGGTTGATTAAAAGTTTTACATGTCTTGTGAATTATAGAATGAAACTCTGTGGGGACTCCTATTTATGTCCTGGTTCCAAGGCAAGGTGCAACAATGATATAATGTGTTGTATTTGTACTTGGGTGCTATACCCATATTGCCATGAAGGCTACAGTCCCCTTCCAAAATTCAGTAAGTAATGCATCAGACATTAAGATATCCATCACTTCAGTGCCAGCACAGTGTGCAGCTGCTATTTGTCACATCCTCATCATACATGGTGGAGTATTAGCAGTGCTAATAGCACTGCATTAGTTGAGTATAGAAAAAGTTGCTGACCTACACTAAACCATTGACTAAAGTTGTCATATCTTAACCTGATATATAAAAGCAACTTTATATATCCAGCATTAAAAATTAGAGGGCACACTCCTTATAACCAACAAGAAGATCCCACCTAACTTTACAAGAAATTGTAAAAAGAGCTTCCTAAATGTGTT